TAAAAAATACTGTATGGTGCATAACATCTGCAGAGGGCCTTGTTCCAGTGTTGCTATGCACAAGTTCATAAAAAACATCTGAGAAGACAGATACATCTGTGATAAGACATGTACAAGCAAATTACCAACACCTACAGAAACTATTGCTGAAATCAGCCATGTTGTAGCAGAAAAAGTCAGCACAAGTGCATGTGATGATGCTCAGTGTCTGGATTTGCCATTTTTCATTTCTCCCTAAGGATTTTTGGTCAACTTTGCAAATATTTCCATATAAGCACATTGTTTTCAAGCACTTGAAGAAATGAATTTAACCTAATATGTTGTTTCTTTATTGAAGTTCTATGCAAGGGTGATGACCAATTACTAACAGCCTGCTATATCCTGTGGACAGATGAAGCACACTTCTCCCTTTCTGGAAGTGTCAACACATGCAACTGTATTATAGGGTCAGACATATATGCAACACTTATGACACACCTCGATGATGTTAAGGTCACAGTGTGGTGTGGTTTCACAGCTGACTTTGTCACTGGACTATACTTTTTTTTGAAGAACCATCAGCATAAGAATTGTAAACCTGCACAGTCATTGCTACATGGTACGGTGCCATGAAATGTTCACAGCCACTGTGATTCCCTTGCTGCAGCAATGAAATTTGGTAGACACTATGCTTTCCATACAGGATGATGCTCCTCTGTATAATGGTAATCAGATGAAACATGGGGGCACTTTCAGGACAAAATCATTTCACATCACTTTCCTTGTGAATAACCACCTCACTGACCAATTGATTTCTAGTTGTGGGAATACCTGAAGTCATGCATTTACTGTGAGAACCCTTGCACAAGCAGTTCCAGACCTGAATGATACAACAGTTTAGAAATGGTCAGAATACAAGGAAAGATGCTTGTTTCTGCTTAATGTCTGTTATCACAATGATGTGATGCATTCTGGACACTGGAGGAGCGCATTTGAAAAGTTACTGTGATATTAACTCAAAGTAATAACTATGGCACTTGCATCCCCATAGTTCCCTTAACACCTTGTGAAAATTCACCTTCCTATATCATATCATTTATGAAATACAATATGCTAAAATAATCACCCTGTATTTCAGTGGTTGTAAAGGTACTTTGGATCAGACTAAATAACATAACATGATATTTTGGGACAACATGGGACCTATTGATCCATCTCGGCTGTTCCATCCTCAAAACTAAATTAAAATGATTTTTAAAAAAATAATAAAATTTTAAACCCAACCCTTTTCTTTCATATACTTATCAAGCTTTTTCTTAAACTAACTTAAATTTCTGCCTCTACAACACCCGAAAGCAGCCCATTCCAAAAGCCAACCACCCTGTTAGAAAAATAAAACTGTCTCAGCTGAAGATGACTCCTACCTTGCCAAAATTTATATTTTTGTCCCCTAGTCCTACTATTCTCATTGTTAAATATAAAAAAAGATGATGCATCAACACTATCAATTCCCTTTACAATCTTAAACACTTCAATCAGATCCCCCCTAACTCTTCTTTTTTCAAGAGAAAATAATTTGAGAGATTTCAGCCTCTCATCGTATGACAACCCCTCCATCCCAGGTACCATTCTCTGAACCCTTCTCTGAACCCTTACCAACAATTTAGTGTCTTTCTTAAGATGAGGAGCCCAAGACTGAACTAAATATTCCAAATGTGGCCTAACCAGTGACCTGTACAATGAAATTATAATCTCTTCAGACTTGTATTCAATGTTTCTATAGACACAACCTAAAATTCTATTTGCCCTACCACTAGCAACAGCACACTGCTTGGATGGCTTTAGAGACTGATCGACTAATACATCAAGATCCCTTTCCTTCATAACACTATTT